AAATATATTAAACAAAAAAGAATATTTAGAGTAAATATTATACATAAAACAAATAGTAAAAAATACTAAATAACATAATTTTTTTTATTCATATATCACAATACATATAAATATAAATACTATATTTATTAAATATTTATTGGCTTCCGGTTCCGGTAAGAGAGTGAGTGACAGGTGTGTGAAAGCGTGGCAGGTATTTGTGAGGAAAGAGTGAGAAAAGGGGTGAGGTGAATAGGAGATAAGAGGTGAGAGGGTGTAGAAAAAAGAGGAGGAGAGATTGAAAGGATAGGAGAGGATAAAGGGGTAAGGAGTTAGAAAGGAGAAAGTAGGAAAAGGTGAGACACGTGGACACGTAGACACGTGGAAGAGAAAGAGAGTAGGTTGTAGGGAGTAGGTGCAGTAGTAAAGTAAAAAGATAGGGAATTCACTAGGGAATTCACTAGCGAGTTGGAGCGAGTTGGAGCATAGAGTAGGTGAATCGAAGAAAGAAAGCGATAAGAGGGAAATGATTAATGAAGAGAATATTAGAGATAGGAGGATAGAGACCAATAGAGATAGGATGTTAGAGGAAGGGGGAAAAAAGGGAGATGAGGAAGAAATAAAAAAGAAGGCAGGGAGGCCGAAAGAGAAGAGTAGAGAGTTAGGGAAGGAGAGGAGGAGCAGTATGGGATGTATAGAGGATTTTTTGAAAAGGAAAAGAGAAGAAGGGGGAGAGGAGGATAAGGAAGAAGAGGAAAAGAAGCCTAAGAAGGAGCAAGAAGACAGAAAGGCTGAATAGAGAGGTAGGGGGGATAGAAAAGGAGGAGTTAAGGAGGATGATGGAAGAGATAGGGGAGAAGATAACAGAGAAGTTAGGCGAGGAAATGAGAAAATTGAAGATAGAAATTTGGAAAAAGGAGGGGGGAATGGAGAGAAGAAAGAAGAGAATTGAGAAAAGAGATAGAGAGCCTGGAGAAGAGAGTGATAGATTTGGAAGCAAGAGTAGAGGAAAGAGGAAGAAAAGGAAAGAGAAAGAGAGGGGGCGAAGGAGAGGAGGGAGTAGTAGTAAGGGATAAACGAGACAATAATAGGAAAAGTGAAGGACATAGGAAAGAAATTAGAATGGAAGGAAAGAGAAGAGAGAAGAAGAAACAACATAGTAATAAAAAGAATGGAGAAAGGGAAGGAAGGTGTAAAGGAAAGAGTAGAGAAATTAATGAAAGAGATAGGAGCGAAAGCAGAGATAGAATGGATAAGGATGTTGAAAGGAAAGGAGGGAAAGGAAGGTGAAATGGTGGTAGGTAAAACTAGGAAGTGGAGAACAGAAAAGACAGGTAATGGAGAGGAAGAAGATATTAAGAGGAAAGAGGGTGAGAATAGAAGATGATTTAACATGGGAAGAGAGAAAGATAAAATGGAGACTAATGGAGATCGCGGAGATAGAAAGGAGGAAAGGAAACAATGTATGGACGAGCTATGGAAGGATAAAAATCAATGATGTATGGTGGAGATGGGAAGAGGAGGAAGGTGTGCTAAAAAACTGGAAAGGAGAAATTAGAGAAGGTATAGAGAAAATGAGGGGGGAAGAAGGGGGTATGAAGACAGGAATGGAGGAAAAAAAAAGGGATAGAAGAAGGGAGAAGAGAGAGGAAAGGAAGAAAGGAGGAAGGAGGAGGGGAGAACAATAGTAAGAAGAGAGGAGGAAGGAGGAGAAAGGGGAGACGGAGGCAGAAAGGAGAAAGGAACAGGAGAGAAAGGAAAAAAGAGGAGAAGTAAGAGAAGAATGGAAGATAGGTTTTTGGAATGTGGCAGGGCTGAAGAATAAGGAAGAAAAGTTCTGGAAGGAAATAGAAGATTGGGAGGTGGTGGTGATGATGGAAACATGGATAGAGGAAAGGGGGGGGAGGCGATTAAAAAGAGGTTACCGAAAGGATATAGATGGGAGAAGCAAGCAGCAAAGAAGAGAAAGAAGAAAGGAAGACCGATGGGGGGAATGATCATGGGGGTAAGGGAGGAGAGGGGGAAGATAAAAGTATCAGGAATGGGAGAAAAGGCGGAGGGAATAATGATGGCGGATTTAGAAGTAGGAAGA